GTGTGTGTGTGTGTGTGTGTGTGTGTGTGTGTATACAGTCATTTGATGAGGCACTAAATCATGCCTGTGTTTTAAAATAAAGGTGTGAAAATTGAAGGATTAGAAATAATACTGCACTTTGTGTATGACCGAATAGGTGGAAAGCACGAGGCAGAATGTACTACCAAAACTCACATGTTCAACCAGCCGTTAGGTCTCCTATGATCATACGACTTTTCCTGAAGTTCACCTCTCGTGCACCCAAAGCAGGGAAACCACACCATATGCTTCCAGGGCAGTGTGCTTACCACTGATAAACATTCCTCAGACTGTGGTGGAAACAGTTTTTTTTTTTTTCAAGCTGCTGTGTGTGCCTTTGTCAGCCAGGAGCGCTTAACTGCGACCGAGGAGGAATGCATGTAAGACTGTTCTGCACTGAAGGTTCCCTTTTAAACTGCCACACCACTGGAGGGCACTGCACTGTCTGCCTTCACACAGAGCGCTCATTGTTGGGAGACGCTTTTGCATCAGACACAGGGGAAGATTTAGGGGGACAAAGTCAGGCTATATGAAATATTGGGTAGATTTTGCGTCATGCGTGATGTAAATTTAAAAAAAAAAAAATTTTTCTAAAGCTTTTGAAGAACTTTGGAACATTTTGATCAGACGTTATTGTCTGTCAGGAGTGTTCAACTTTCAAATAGCTCCACAATTTCAAATACTGACACGACGATTTATATATTAAGCTGATGTTAGATTAAAAAAAAAAAAAACATGGGGAGGAGGTTGTGGTGTGAAATATATTGCTCACATAAAAGCTTCCTGTTTCCTTTCCCCCCTCCTTATTAGACAAACTGCAGGACGGATGCCAACACTGGAGCTGCAAATGACATTTTTTGGCCTCAGCACGTTCACCCCCTTCAGCCCCCGCAGTCACAATGTCACAAACACTTACATCCTTGGTGGAGCTACCAAAAAAAGCATAACGTGCAATAACGGTTGGCAGCGATAAAGTGCGAAAATGAAGCAGCTGCAGAGCCAAAGGAGATCTGCTGACTCAGGTCTTTGGATCTTTAGCACTAATGCTACAAGTGCTACTGCAGGAATGGGCCTTGTTTGCTGGAAAAAGAATTAAGTGGATTAGATTAAAGACAACCGGTGGGTCATAATAACAGAAAATGGCGGGATGGGTGAGGAAATTAAGCCTTCAAGATGTGCATAACATAGACTGAAAGGCAATGTTGACAGCTGGAGAGGAGTTTAGTCGCAGGGTGGTGAACAAAATGATGAAAAAAGAGAGCAAAAGAAGGGAAGATAAGTTGGAAAATCCATCAGAGGTATAGTAGTACCCTGCATGACTGATAGCCCTTAATCAGAGGATAAGATACAACGATGAAGCTCCAAACCACCATTGGCCCCGCGGGCCGGGCCATGCGCAGAGCTGAAACTGATGCTTGCAGAAGCTCTGGCTTATTGGAGGTGGGCAGATGTTCAAGTTTTTCCTTGACGCTCCACCCCTCAAGCCGCTTTTATGGGCCTGTTTACTAGCACGGGCTTCCAGAGATCTTTATCCAGCACGCCTTTGATTTGCCAGAGCTCTCATCCCACATCCCATATGCAGCGGCAGAGACACAGGCCTTTCAAGACGCACAAATAGGAATCTGGCAGTCATTTCACAGTCAGAACATTTTTTTTTGTCTCCACCCCCCCTCTGTCTCTGTTCACCCCTCTTATTTTCATTCCCTAAAACCCCCCCCCCCCCCTTTATCCACAACTTTAGATATAATTACCGAGGCTCTTTGCAGATGTTCCTTCTCTTCTCTTTTTCCCGACTTCCAGATTTGCAGAGATCAGAGATGAGTAGAAATGTTATGTTACACCAAACAGAGGGGACAGATGTATTTATTCTGAAATGCAGCCATGCTGCTGAAATAACTCCTTCTTTATAAACAATAAAGAGACAGCAAATAATACAAAAATAAATGCAGGAGGAGGGGAAAAGTGTGATGTTAATTACATTTATTTTAAAGCCAAATGCTCCATTTCAAAGGCTTCAGCGAAATCAGAACAGCTGGAATGACTTCTGTGCCTTCTACTGTACAGTGTAGGTGGTCAGGACCTTACTGTAAACTGTTACAAGACACAAAACACTGTGAAAAGACAGCACGTTTAAACTGTTCAAAGCAAGGAGACTCAGACAAAGCAGGTCAAAGCCACTTCCGTCACCTCAGTGTGAACCCAATTGTCACAACAAGAAAAAGGCCCATCACTCGCCAGTCAAAATATGTCACATAAGCTAAGTTTCCAAAAAGGGTCCAAAAAGCTAAAGTCAATACACGGACTGCATATAGCTCTGCTCCAAGGATGACCGCTGGACAGGGTGCAATTATCTTGCGTTGACGCAAAAACACTCACTGTAACATTCACCCATTGTTAACACCAACCTCTGTGGGCAGGCGAGTAGAGCGGGGCCCAGCGCAGCTCGCGGGAACAGAAACCAGACCTGACCAGACGAGGCCGGAACAGCCAATCCCGACCGGCCGCAGTCATCCCTGTCACATGACCAAGGTCAACAGGAAGTTTCGGAACAGGAGGAATAACACGGTTTAGGACAGCAGCGAGGGAGCTTTCCTCTCCTATTTCCACTCTTATTTCATTTGCCATTTATCAAAGTGCCAGAAGCAGCTGCAACGTCCCAGGTTGTCAGACAGGCAAACCTCAGGAGTGCCTACTCAGCGACTTGGTGACAGCCAGCCTAAAAGTTGCCAGTTTTAAACTCAGAGTATAGAAATCTGTGCGCCCCCAACCCCCCTTTCCCCCAAGCTGTAAGTAGGAGGCGAGGAAGTGAGTCTGGGCAAGAACACCTCTCTGCGGAGTAATTCATGAACTGCCACAGTCCGGGTGAGAGGTGTGATTTGGCTCAAAGCGGGTGAGGGTTTCTGTATGGTAGACAGAGGCAGGAAGCTCTTGCTGGGAGGAGAGAGGGTCAGCAAGTCTATATAACGGTTTCTGAGAGAGAGAAAAGTTTAACTGAAACACAGAGCCCCTCGCTTGTAATCCTCTTGTGGTTTCCTTCCTCAGCTCCATGGCCTTAAACCCCCATGCAGACAACCTCCCTTTTACTGCTGCACTCTAAACCGTCCTCTCCCCACCTCCCTCTCCCTCTCCTTCAGTCTCTTTTTCTTTTGTGGTATAAAAAAGATTATGCTTATTCGGGTCTGGCTGTGGCCCTGGCCTAGCTCCATGGGAGGAGATGCGGTTTCTCCAGCTGCTGTGAATCCTGCAATGAAGGTCCACGCATGAAAGCATGCTGCATTTGAGTGGTCGAGGCCGCCATACACCCCCCACCACTTACGCCCCCAATTTTTTTGCAATACTCCATCATCTCTGCGTATTACGGCTTTGAAGTCTTCCTTTTTTTTTAATGATTTTATCTTGTGGCTTATCTTTGCTGCTTACATCCTTTACTGAACCAACCATGATAAACACAGCGCTTATTAATACACGAGTGCACGTTTTTCTGCTTTTTACAGCTGGAAAGAGGGGATCATATTATAGGAGGTGCGTTAAAAAAAACCCGAAAAAATGGGGCCCGGAAAACAAAAAAAGTTAACCGGTTTTTTTTTTTACTTTGGCCAATCTCCCCTTCACGTTCGCCTTTTTGCACCACTTGAAACCCAAAGTTAGAGTCATTTCATATAGAAATATAGATATTGTCATGGCCTGGGTCTAGAGACCCAGGGCTCAGGCATTTTCAGTGTATGTTTATGTTTATGTTTTCCGTGTGTTGTATTGGTTTGCTCTCCGTCTCTCCATGTGTCTCTGTGTGAGCTTCCGGAGGTGTGGGTTCGCTGAGGAGACTGCGAACCCGGAAGTGGTCTACTCGAGAGACAGCCGCCCCTGCCGCTCGTCGTCCTCTGCCAACTGCAGCAGATTACGCTCGTCTAGGAACGGCATTTAGGACTGCAGCTGAGCTGAGGCCGACGCTGGATCCTTGAGTCAGAACTCGTCAGTACTGCCGTGAGCTTTTATGTAACCTCCGAGGAAACAGATCCCCTGCTAACCCTCTGCCTTTTGTGTTACCAGGAATCGGGAGCGGAGTACGCCTCTAAAGTCACGGTGTGGGAATTGGAGTTTTTTGGAGTCGCCACCTTTCACTTCTCACGGACATCTGCACTGTGTGGGATTCAGGGAGAATCACCACGGGACCACAGTGCTGGGATTTTGTATATAGTTGTGTGTTTTTCACCTCCTGTAAATAAATCCACTGTCCTTCACTTAGAGTCTCGCGTTTGGGCCCTGCTTTCACTGTCACTCCACGGTCTGCCATCGCAGCCCGTGACAGATATAGAGTTAAATCTGAAGAGTTCTTCTGTTAAAACCAGGATATATCCCATGAAGAACATAAAGTGTAAAGTTTATGTAGTTACAGCTTTGATTTTCTGTACTTATAAAGTTTTGTGCCGTTTTTCTTTTAGCCAGAAATGTACTTGTATGGACAAAAGGATTGATTAACAACCTGCATCATTAAAACTATCAGCTAATCAGTGCTAAGCAGTGTTGGTGAAGTTACTTGAAAAAAGTAATCAGTAACTAATTACTGATTACTTCCCCCCAAAAGTAATCCCGTTACTTTACTGATTACTTATTTTCAAAAGTAATTAATTACTTAGTTACTTAGTTACTTTTTAAAAACACGATTTACAACCTGAATAGGTGATAAAGCGATAGATCTTTCAGCCCAGTTCTACTTTTTCTACATAATCCATAATGCAAAATGTAATCAAATGGAAAAGTCTCTTTTTAAAACTTGTTTTATCAGTTTTAATCTTTTAACTTTATGCATCAAGCAAAAATTTAATTATATGCAACATTCTCTGAGTTGAATAAATTAGTTTAACATTTAAACCTATTTTCTACACATTCCAGCACATAAAATAAAATATTTTTTGTGTTTACACTCACTCTTTCAAATAGATGCAAGTAAAACACAGCAAGACATAAATAAAGTCAAAGACTCAGCGGTCCTGTTGCTCTATTTTCACCTGTCACTCGCTTACCTCACTGTCGTGAGATATTCTCGCAAAAAATCACGGTTTTAGTAACGCAGTAACGCAGCGTTCCTACGGGAAGGTAACGGTAATCTAATTACCGTTTTTGCAATAGTAATCCCTTACTTTACTCGTTACTTGAAAAAAGTAATCAGATTACAGTAATGCGTTACAAGTAATGCGTTACAAGTAATGCGTTACTGCCCATCTCTGGTGCTAAGTAACACATTAATAAAACAATTTTTGGATGGTCTGTATGACACAGCAAACCATAATTTTATGTTAAAAATGCTCTAGAAAGGCACCAACAGCACACACACAGTTCACAGAGGTTCAGTGCAGAGGACACGAGGCCTTGCAGACACCTGTTGGCGCCACTGATATGTACTGGGAAGCTGTTAATCAATGTGGCCTTTGTGTGTTAATCAACACCCTTAGCGCCTAACTCTGCACTGAGATGTTATGAGGAAGGAAGATATCCATAGAAGTCTAAGGTTGTAAAGCTGAAAATTTAACTTTGAGTCTGTGGCACGGTGGTCATGCTTTGGTCAAGACAGACACCTTTTAACTTTAAGTTGAATTTTAGAAACACAGTTGCTGGGAGATAAATCTGGCATATTGGTTTGAGCTAACACACGTGTTGTGTGTTAGCTCAAACCAAAATTTATGCTGGATAGCCTTCCTGATACAATCCCCAAAGGGATTTGTGTCTCATCCTAGGATAAAAGCAGGAATATTTTGTGTAAAGCACTCCAGTGTAGAGTTACTTGGCATGACCAAAAATGCTCCTTTAATTTAAGCTGTGACAGGGCACGCGGTGGCTCAGTGGCATGCACTACAGTTCTCGTTGTTTGCGAATGTTCGGGATGTTCCAGCACTGACTGTCCAACCCTGGGGACAAATTTACAGCACACAAACCTGCTATTTAAGATGTTTAGTCCTGCCAACTGTTGCTGCTGCCTCTGCAAGCTGCTTTGCAACCCCCTTCACTGTATTTCCTCCTTTTGGTTATGCGTCTGACTTAATCAGTGTCCCTCCTGCTGTCGCTGACGCCTGCTCTGTTGTGTACTGCGGGGGTCTTGCTGCAATCTTTCCATTTATAGTTTGAAAGGGCGGGGAGGTCCCAGAACAGAGCCGTACCACAAAAAATAAATTACTGCACATGGAAATAACAATCTTCTTCTGACTCAAGTGGTCCTGAATGAAAGGCTAACTGCTCAAGAAAATCCAGCTAAATGCATGCAAATACCTGCATGAAGAGCTTTTGAGTATGTGACTGACAAACAGGATGATTTAGCTACACAAATGTTGTCCGTCCATAAGGTTCTAATAGATATTTCATATTTAAATTAAAAAAGCAAAAGGGACCTCGTAGCAATGGTCTGTTAGTAATAGCACTGGAGTAAATACAGTAAATTAGGCTTCTTGACTGTCGAAGTAAAGGCTCTGTGCAAGTAAAACTCAAAGTAATAGTAAAACTTTACTAATATGAGGCCATGTAATGCCAGAAGTCCAATCACAAGCTATTAGTTAAGAAAAACAGCAGACATATGGGGCGCTTTCATACGAGCTGAGACACTGCCATGTCCACATATAAGTCCCATTTACATCTCGCACACTAAACGCTGCCTACTGTACTGATCAAAACATTACATAAGACTGGTGTGGTGGTAGGATAGGAAGTCTGGCTGGGATCCAGTGGCTTTCTAGAGGCCCTGGCTTCTCTCTGTACATTAGCCAGGATATTAAAGGAAATGCAGGCCGCCACAGGCTCCACTGCTGTGGTTTGCCATCAGCCGGAGCAAATCTGTGTGCTCCAGTGGCACACACTCCCTGCCCAGTCTTGACGTGAGGACTGTGTGTGTGTGTGTGTGTGTGTGTGTGTGTGTGTGTGTCGGTGGGACAACTGCATGACCACGGTGTTCCAGTCTGTGTGGCCTGTCAGCAGCCGGTCTCTATAGTAATGCTCACTCATTACACATAATAGTCTCAGAGACAAAGAGGGGAGCAGATGTAAGGGAGACACGCATGCACACACACTGTCGTGAACAGGCGTGTGTTCACGGACCATTAGCATAGCTGCAGTGTGAGCTAATCGGCTGTGGCAGTGTTTTGCCGTAGCCTGACTGGGTGGAACAGGTAACATTCAATTAGAGGCCTACATGGCTGGCATGGAAAAGACAAAAAAGACTGTGTTACTAAGCAAACGCACAACACGCTCTTCAGGAAGATGGGAAAAAGCACCACCTTTTCCTCTGGTGTCGGAACAGAAAAGGTTCACACTTGTTGTTTATTTAAATGAGTCGACCCAGCTACAAGAGACAGAACCAAACCCGTCACAGGGGAAATCACTTCACCCCACAGTGGAGTGTCCGTAAACCTGGAAGAGTCGCTGCTTTTACACTTCTGTTTCCTTGTCTTGGAGTTACTCATTTCTGGTTTGATTCCTATAATGAGCTTTAGACATTTCCACAAAGCTACTCACGATCCACTTTATTAGGTACACTTTTCTAGTACAACTTTGGACCCTCGTTTGAACTGCCTTAATTCTTCATGACAAAGACTCAACAAGGTAAAGCAAACATTCGTGAGATTTTGGTCCATGTTGACACAATAGCATCACACTGCTGCAGATGTGTTGCTGCATATTCATGATGTAAATCTTCTGTTCCACCGTATCCCAAAGAATTTAGATCTGGTGTGTTGAGCCCATTTGAATAGATCAAACTCACCGTCGTGTTTAAGAAACCAAATTGAGATGATGTGAGCTTTGTGACACGGCGCACTGTCCTGCTGGAAGATGGGTACATTATTAAGGATGGATATGTACAGCAACGATACTCAGGCAGGTTGTAGTGTTGAAACAATGCCCAGCTGGTACTACACAGCCCAAAGAAAGAGCCAAGAAAACACCCCCACAGTATTACACCACCACCAGCAGCAGCCCGAAGCTCTGATACAAATCAGGATGGAGCTACGCCTTTATGCTTTTTATTTATTTATAGCCTCACTTCCCCTTTCTTAGCTGTCAGTAGTGGTACCCAGTGTGGTCCTGTACTGCTGCAGGGTTGATGTGCGCTCAGAGAGGCTGCTCTGCATGCCTTGGCTGTAACAAGTGTCTATCGGAGTTACTGTTGCCTTCCCATCAGCTCAGTCATTTTCCTGTGACCCCTGGCATTAAGACTAAGCATTAAGACATTAAGACATTAAGACTATTCTCTATAAAGCCTACAGATGGTTGTGCAGGAGAATCCAAGCAGATCAGCATCCATCCCGATGCTCAGTTTGAACTTCAGCAGGTTGTCTACATGCTTAAATGTGTTGAGCTGTTGCCACGTGACTCCCCTCACTCCTAACTGGTTGTGGCTCTGCTGGAGGTTTCTTCCTGTTAAATGGGAGTTTTTCCTTCCCACTGTTGCCAAGTGCTTGCTCATAGGGGGTTGTTTGATTGTTAGCTAGTTAAAAGCATTAGTTTTCACTCTATTACAATCTAATTTTAGCATGCTTTGTTTATTTAGCTGTTGCAAAGATACATTTTAGTTTGCTGAATTGAGCACAGTAATGTACTTTCTGAGTTATCCACTTTTATTCTACAAGTTGAACATTTTCAACATACTTTTGCTCAGAAATATTGATGTGGCCTAAAGCTTTTCGGCACTTTTTAGTTTTGCTGTCTGCAGATGAAGAGACAATGAGGCACCTTTGCACAAAACAAACTCAGCGGAGAGCCATAAATTTGTTTTCTCCTCCGGTGCGAGCGGGACTTAATTGCGCTCAATCTCTGTGACTCAACGTGAGTGTGTATTCATATTTAACAGTTTAATATGTATGTGTGTAGCATGTGTGTGTGTGTGCGTGTCTGTGGGGGATTGTCTCTTAATATAGTTAAGCTGTGAAAAACCCCAAAGTCTTTGGCGAGGTCTCACACACACTTTTTCTCCTTCCTTCCTCTCACCAGAACCATTTATCAGAGCAGAACAGGGGCAGCTTGCGTGTCGTAAGCCTCTTTGGAGCCACAAACAAATCAAGCAGGGCTCTCCATCAAATGAACTCCCCACTCGACTGGCGGTTACATAAAGGTTTACTCACTCGCTGTGTAAGAGCATGTTTCAGTGGGAATGGCTTCTGATTGAATACATCCATACCTACCAGCACTGGGGAAGAAAAATGGCTAAAACTCAAAAAGAAGGCGGGGGCGACTGTCAAACTTTTTTTACTTCTCCATATGTCAGCATATGGCGAGGCTTTTACAAGTATGGCTGATTCTTTTATTTCAGTGCATGTGTAGGAACC